ACGTAAAGGAGTACAATAATTTACTGTTAGCTAGCGTGACCAACATAGGCGGTAGGCTGGAAGAGGAGCGAACTGGAAGAACTCCGGTATCTTCGGGCGATGTTTCAGCCGAAATGTATTTGTAGCGGAGGACGCGCCTCTAAGGGTCGAATCACGACAGAATATTGTCGAGGTCGATGTTGGAGAAATTGAGGGGAGAACATTAAAACACCGAGGGTGCGGACAGTAATAGTGGCGCCGACGAGGGTAGCTCGTCGCTCAAAAGGGGTAAAATTTGGACTTAATAAAGGCTGCGTAGTAACGAAACACACAGTTATATTTACATGAAATTCACCGTTCAGGAATATTTTCACGCGTAGATGGATCGTAGAAAAGCAATAAAAGAATCGTATAAAAAAATCTTTATATCTCTTATCGAATAACAAAATTTTACCAACGATGAATGAAAGACAAGAAAGAATTTTTTTTTTTCATGAAAAAATTAATTTCAGAAGAACGATTTCGGCGCGACAGATGGCGGAAATAATCAACGTGTAAGTATATAGGCCGAGTCAAAGATAAAATATATAAATCACGCGTAATATATTCACGAAACGATTATACTCGTCCGGTGCCATACTGTGAGCAAAAAAAAAAAAAAAAGAAAGAGAAAAAGAAAAAAAGTTTCGAAAGATTTACATCCTATGGAAAGCGTAATACTTCAGATTCGTCTACCAGATTGACGCATTTTAATACGTATAGCGACATATTTCTTTTCTAACACGACGCGATCACTGTACACGATGAAAATTCAAACCTTACGTTATTTCATTCGTTTCGTGTGTCGAAGTAAAGAGGAATCATTTCGTTCCCTATTTTTTCCCGATGGTTCATCATCAAACCGATCGTTCTTCCTCGATACATATTTCCATCGTTTTTTTTTATTATTTTGTCGAGCTGACGACAGTAACGAACGTAAAAAGGTTTTAACGTTGATACAAGGTTCGCGTGTAAAGTATCTTAAATTGGGGTAATTTCGTGATGTACGCACCTGTCACTTAACGAGACTCGAACTTTTGAATTCGTCTTGCAGCTTGGAACAAAGGTTGAAACTGGGAACCGTTATTCGGGTCGGAAGGGGGCAGAACGAAACGAAAATGGCGCGTTATCGGTTCGTAGCGTTGCAATTACCAGCCACGGGGTTCATCGCGCCCCTGAAGATAAATGAGACAGTGGATCAACGTCGACGAACTCCGACTTCTGTGTACGATGATTTATCAAAATTAATGACCACCGAGGCCTATCGGACCGACAGACCGTATATGTAATTGGGCTACGTGTGTGACTACCAATTGATTGGATAGATACTTGAGGAATATGGACAATTGGTGAGAAATAATTTTGCGAAATGTAGAAATTATGCTTGAAAGATTTCTCGAGGATTTGTAAAAGACAGAGTTAGGAACTTTTAATAATATCTCGAATAAATAAAATAGTTTTTAACTCTATAAATATTTTAAATTCTCAGTCTGATTGAAATCTTTGGGCAAAAGAATTCTTTATTGTGTTCGCAAATAATAAAATTCAAAGAAAGAGAAAAAGAGAGAAAAAATTAGAATATTTTATAATTTACGAAGTCCAAGTTCATCATTCAAAGTATTCTTTTCGTTTACAAGTATCACTTGAAACTTGAGTCAAAGTATCATCTACTTATTGTATTCAACGAATAGAGCAAAAAAAGGGATATCGAATTACATGGACTCCAAGTTCGTTTACACGAAACATGATATGACATCTCAAATTACACGGACATCGAATTCACTTAAATCCAGTCCAAGTGCCATTTCTTCTCCGCCATTTTTAACCGATATGAGAGCCGATGCCTTCACGATCGTCTGCTTAAAAATTCGATCGAAACCCGGTAAAATAAAATAATCTAAAACACTTGGACCCCAAATTCACCTAATTCCATTACACGCGCCATTTCTTCTTCCCCTTTCTAAATCTCACAGGATCTACACAGAATCACCCTCGATAATCCCTCATTCTCATCTCTCCCCCCAAAATTGACAAGCAAAAACCAATGGAACCGTTCTAGAGAATCGGTCCACCACCCACTTTTCTTACCAATCGTCCATCTTTCGAAACGAACTCGGCAGAAGAGAAGAAAAGAAAAGAAAATCCTATCCTATCCTCCCCCGATCCTTAAAATCACATCGTTAAGAAGCGGTGTCAACCGGTGTCCCCTTGCGCCGAGAAGACCGGTGGGTGACGGAGAGATCGGGGTCCTTGGCGGCAATCGCTCCTCCCGGGCATCCCCGGCGAAGTACTCTTCAGCCCCGTCGGGCTGATTTGCATCACGGTTACGAGCTCGTTCGAGCTCGTGGTGGTTATATTACAGAGCGAGGGAGAGAGGGCAGCAGGATGGAAAAAGGGGGACAGAAGAGCGCGCGGGTCCCTCTCGCTTGCCGCGTTCCACCCCCAAAGCAGCTCGCTGGAGGCAGCTCGGACACTCATAACAATCATAACAACGGGATCCCGCGAGTAACTCGCGGACCACCTCCGCGCATCGGGACCGCCCTCCGGACCGCCCACGTTACCCCTACCAACAGCAGCCAGCATTGGCTGGCGGCTAGGCGGGAGAGAAGCCACGGCGGGTTGCCTTCCCTCGGCTCAACAGCGGGGCCACTACGCAGCCAGACTGCGGACCGTCAGGATTCAGGTCCAAGTTTTCGCGCCGAGCTTCGACCGCGCAACGTGCACACCACGCTGCCACCGACACGAGGGCAGAGGGGATCCGATTATCCAGCCATCGTTCGACCAATTCGTTCGATCGTCGTTCACCGATCTATCGATCGATTTTAAGGATCCGTCGATCGAGAGTCCACCATCATCCAACCAGTCCAACGGTATTCGAATCGGATCCTGGTGCGAGTGAGAAGGGATACGCGAAAGGATCTCGGGATGCAGAGTAGAGAGGAATAAATAAAAAGTGGAGGAAGTTAAACAAGTGAAACGCGACGACGGTGATCGGCAAGTGTGTGAGTTCGAGAGTGATCAGGGAATCAGAGCGTAGAGGTGCGTGCGCCAGTCGGCACGTGGACGCACCGAAGGAACACGTCATATATACATATATACATATATATATATATATATATATATATATATATACACCACATATTATATATATATATATATATATCCTTGGCGGCAATCGCTCCTCCCGGGCATCCCCGGCGAAGTACTCTTCAGCCCCGTCGGGCTGATTTGCATCACGGTTACGAGCTCGTTCGAGCTCGTGGTGGTTATATTACAGAGCGAGGGAGAGAGGGCAGCAGGATGGAAAAAGGGGGACAGAAGAGCGCGCGGGTCCCTCTCGCTTGCCGCGTTCCACCCCCAAAGCAGCTCGCTGGAGGCAGCTCGGACACTCATAACAATCATAACAACGGGATCCCGCGAGTAACTCGCGGACCACCTCCGCGCATCGGGACCGCCCTCCGGACCGCCCACGTTACCCCTACCAACAGCAGCCAGCATTGGCTGGCGGCTAGGCGGGAGAGAAGCCACGGCGGGTTGCCTTCCCTCGGCTCAACAGCGGGGCCACTACGCAGCCAGACTGCGGACCGTCAGGATTCAGGTCCAAGTTTTCGCGCCGAGCTTCGACCGCGCAACGTGCACACCACGCTGCCACCGACACGAGGGCAGAGGGGATCCGATTATCCAGCCATCGTTCGACCAATTCGTTCGATCGTCGTTCACCGATCTATCGATCGATTTTAAGGATCCGTCGATCGAGAGTCCACCATCATCCAACCAGTCCAACGGTATTCGAATCGGATCCTGGTGCGAGTGAGAAGGGATACGCGAAAGGATCTCGGGATGCAGAGTAGAGAGGAATAAATAAAAAGTGGAGGAAGTTAAACAAGTGAAACGCGACGACGGTGATCGGCAAGTGTGTGAGTTCGAGAGTGATCAGGGAATCAGAGCGTAGAGGTGCGTGCGCCAGTCGGCACGTGGACGCACCGAAGGAACACGTCATATATANATATATAATATATATATATATATATATATATATATATATACACCCACATATGTATATATATATATATACATATACATATACACGTATACATATAAAGACACGGATTCCTGACTGTTGGTCGTTGGATGAACACGGTAACAGTGAAGCGACGAAACGGCTGTGACGCGTCCAGTGGAATAAGTGTCCATTGTCCGACCGCTACGTGCACAGACTACCGGTGCGCGTCCGGATCGATTGACCCGTGGGCTTGGCCGAACAGGACTCATTCCACTCACTGGCTTATTTCGGTGGACTCGGTGAGTGAATTACGAGGGGCCAAGGGTTCACGTGTACGCTCGAAGACTGTCGAAAATATATTATCGCGAGGGCCACGTGCGGGAGGCACTAAACGTGGCAGGTGCTACGGACAGGTGGTGGCCGAGTTAATTGCACGGCAATAAACGTAGACATTCTGCGAAAGATTGATCAACGGCCTCTATCTACCTACTCTACCTACTCTTCGCGTGTACATGGTGCGTACGTGTACGGTGTGCTCTGGCCAATCGCAGGGAGAAGGCGCTCGGTATCATCCACGGTTTCTAACGACTCCGCTTTGGTTCAACGATAAAAGTGACGACGATACAAGGACTTGTCCGGACTTCTTCTTCCTCTAACAAACTTCTAATTATCGCTGCGGGATAATTGCGACACGCACGTGACCACGTCGTTTCCCTCGACCGTGTTCCCCCGGCGTGGAATCGCGCGCGATAACCACGCTCCACGCGCACATCGCCTGACAAATAGAATAATTAAAATCACATTAAAGGAACGCTCGTTCGTGTTCGCGCGCTTCACACATTCGAGCCGCGCGCTATCTCCGAGGAGAGGAGCTGAACTCACCGTTGCCGTTCATATTTCACGGGATTCGTAATATTGTCTCCGTGTGGCGCGGATACGATAAATAGAAATACGTGATCGTGAGTTTTTTCTTTCGAATCGAGGGTTGGCAAGAGGGTGTGACAACACGTTTCTAGAATTGGAATTCGTTCCGGGCACGATCGAGAAGGAAGGAGAGAAGGAATCGAGCGACGAAGTATATTTATCGGGATCGCGAGCAATTAACTGTTTGCTTCTTAATCGCTCCTAATTACTCACAATTACCCGGCGTAATTAAGTAGGCTGATGTCACCGGCGGTCGATGTATTTGTGAATCGTTTGTCCGTCGACGTCGGTCCACCGTCGCCATCCGGGCTGTTGCCTGTTGTTGTCGTCGCTGCTCGTCGTTGGAAAATTACCGGTGGATCGTGAAATAAGGGAAGGAGGAAGGGGACAGAGGTGAGCACGGCGAAAGATCGAGCGGTAAAGGGCCGAATCGTTGGTGTTTTGGATCGGAGGAAAAGAAAAAGGGAAGGAAGGGAGGAAGATCGATCGGGTTCAGACTGGGGGAAGGACGAAGAGAGATACTCGGAGAGGCGTTCGTTCGAGCAGGTGGCATCGAGGTGAATAAATATAGCAAGAAGTCGAGAGTACCCGCGTCAGGACGACGTCCCACGTACAACAATCACAGGTCGCTTCAGGTGAGTTTTGCATTTCAAACTTTCCCGTTCGTTCCGTATTGGAATAATACAGGGATAATAGGATAACGGAATAATAATTAGACGAGCTGTCGTCGAGCTGTTTTCGAGACTGAGTTTCCACTCCGATGGGATGGGAATATCGACGAGTGTGTTCGAGTAAAAGTAATCCCGAGCGGGGTAATTATTTACAGAGATTGGAAACAGGTTACTCTATATCGTTTATACGTAAATTATAGAAAAATCTAAACCCACCTACGAATTTAACTTTACTCGACGACGACGATGAGAGAAGAAATGTTTCGTTCTTTTGTTAAGATTAATTTATAGATAATACCCGCGAGATTTGATCCGTTCTACCGATCAATCTCTAATAGAAAAGGTATATAATCGGTGTTGGTAATTGATGGTAGTCGAAAGGGAAGGGAATAATATATTTCCATCAAAATTCGGTCCGGTCGATCCAGCCGTGTATTTATATCTGGCGAGGCAATTGCGAGGCTCGCGAGCGATAATCGTTGCCCCGATAGCATGAAGTTAATCTCTGTAATTAAGAAAGTTACTCGGGGGCCTGGCCACGCGGGAATGTCGGCTAGCGAGAGATTGAAACAGGCGCTGGGTATCCGCGTTGGCTTCGCCCTCGAGTGCCCGGTGATAATTCCCCGCGGCTACTTAGCTGCGTTCTAATAATTAAGGTGATAATTATGCTCGATCGCGTACACGTCTGTGTCCGGTGCGAGTTGAAAATGCTAATTAAAAGATCGACCAGATATACGTGTACGCAACCCGTCGTGATTTTTTTAACCTTCGATTCGTTTCGAGTTTCGCGTTCTCTAATTCCCAATTACTTTCGAAGGCAATAGGAATATTTTGATTATTTTTGTCATTCGACTCGATTTGTCCAGATTCTTCTATCTTCCGTGACGTTCCAAATAACGAAGTTTCTGTGAAAATAATCTGTGGAAAAAATTAGGGAGGAAGCTAACCGAAAGATTTGGAAAAATTATTCTATTTTTCGTTGAAAGATATAGCGTTTCGTAAAGGAAAAACGTGTGAAATTGTATAAGTATGTGTATGAAGGATTCGTTGAATTTTTGTTTAGTTGTGAAGTTTTGTCATTCGTGAAAAAATATAGTAGATAAGTAGTGGAATTTATGCGTAGAATTTTTTGGAAAAAATGTTTTCTTCCGTTAAGAAAGAAAAAATTCAATTATTTTTCATCGACGGATATAGCGTATTATGACATTTTTAATAAGAGGAAGTTTCTCGCTAACAGGAAAATTCTATTATTTTTTTTTTTTTATCGATAGGATTCCTTGATTTCTCGTCGTAATTCTTGTTTAGACTTCAATTATAATGTTCAGCGATTTCTGCAGCATAAAATTCTACCGGATGTCGTTTATTTTTATCTTCTTTCGACCACCTTGTAATAAAAATGTCAAAATGAAGTTTTTCTTCCAAACAAAAAGTAAATGTAGACATATCTCAATTCTTCTCATAATTTATCATCTCGTTCCCCTATATATCAAATAACGTATTATTTCTCTTTCCAACAAAAAAAAGAAAGAGCAAAAATTATCTTAAGAAGCGCAAAAAAAAAAAAATCCATAAAATCCAAAGTATCGCTCCGTTAATCTCAAAGTCCTCGTCCGTTTCTTTCTCGATATTCTTCGAGAGAAGAAAAAAAAAAAAAAAAAGAAATTCATCCAACATCGATGAAAAGCGCAAAGAACAAAATTTTCAAAGTTTCCTAAATCTCTTCCACTCTCTCGACACGTTTGAAAGAAAACGCAAAAACAAAAAAAAAAAAAAAAATAAAAATACAGGGTAAAACAACGAACGATATGACTCGAAAGTATCCAATCGTCATCGAAACATCACTTTCACCCTTGAAACAAAAATCCAAACACTGGAATGGAAAATGGAGTAAAAAAAAAAAAAAAGAAGAGAGAGAGAAAGAGAAAAATAATAATCCGCGAGGGAAATGACTCGTAACGTCATCGTGGGGCTCTAAACCTCGACTACCATCGACGCACGCGGCGCGCAACCTCTTCATTACACCAATTCGATGACTGCCCTCCTCCCTCCACCACTCGGCGCGAGCGTGCAACCACCCACCCTCCCAACCCCCATTTGTGAAAAAGAGGCCGGTGTACCGCGCGCGGTCGACCATCGAAATCATCGGCGGAATGATCCGGCGGCTGTTGTTGCGCGTACGCTGGTAGCCCGAAAGTGCGTGTCGAACACGCATGCACTCGTCATGAATCGAGTTAACCGGGCGCGCATACGCAGATATTTTCGATGAAATGACACCGTCAGTGAGGGACGGCGACGCGCCGTTTACCCACACGGGCCATGTGATCGGAGCGGAGGTAAACAGGAGCACGTGCCGGCAGCGTGACTACGCGCGGAGAGTGACGCCGCGGGGGTTGGAAGGAAGGTGGTGGATAGAGGAGGAGAGCGAAGGGTATGCGGAGTGGTGGCGTCGAGGGTGGAAAATCAGTGCGAGCAACTGAGGGGGAGGGTAAGGAGAGAGTTCTTGCTTGCCGCCTCGGGACCATGGGCGAGCCGGTTGAAAGAGGAGCGCGGGGGGGAAGGTGGAGGGTGGACGGCGAGGGATCGGCGGGGCGAGGAGAGAGGGCCACCGCTTTGCCCGGCGAGGATGGGACTGGAGGAAAGAGGGAGGGAGAGAGAGAGAGAGAGGAAAGTGGCGGTTGATGGAGAGTCGAAGGCGGAAAATCCCAAAGGAAACCACTCGACTCGCGATATCGTTGGGAGGGTGGTGGTTCTACACCGGGGAAAGAAAATCAAAGCTTTTCTTATCTGTCGTGGGATTCTTTTCTGGTGTTTCGCTTCGCGATTTTCAGCGAGGGGAGATTGAAAGGGAACGGTTGGAAATTGTTTCTCTTGGCTTTGGATTTTTGGCACGTGTCGGGCGAGGGATGTTTTTCTTGGGTAATTTAGGTGGACGCGTATATGGATATATAAATTTCTTCGTTTTAACATTGAATATATTTTCACCTTTACGAGTTTATAAATGTCTGTATATACTTACTCGTTCACTTTCGTCCGTGAATGAATTTTTCACAATTAAATTTTCGAAACTCTATTATCGATTGAAACAAGTATGAATAAAAAATGAATAAACATTTTTAACGTACTCGACGTTAATTACACGAAAAATACAAGTACGTTTTTTTCAATAATCAACAAAAATAACGTTATTTTTAACGATTTCTTACGATTCGAGTGACAATTTGTTTTCGAAATTATCACTTTTTCCATAGATCCACGATGCGTTTACAATTTAAAAAAAAAAATACTCGAACAAAAAAGAGAGACGGATTAACATCTAAAACGATATTCAAAAGAGAAACTATCGCGAAATGGATACCGTGAAGAAACGAGATTCCTTTTCACCAGAGGGGGGGAAAAAAAGAGGGAAAAAAAAAAAAAAAAAAAAAAAAAAAAAAAAAAAAGAAAACGACGAAAGTAATAGAATAAACGGTT